GGGCGCGCCGGAAGAACGCCAATGAAATTTTGATCGGTTCGTAGATCTTCATTGAGAGCCGGGGTCGACAAACTTTGTGAGCTAAATGCATGCCGATCGGCGGCGGGTGCCTCGCATTGGCGGATGGTGAAATTGATTTTGATTAATGGTGGCGAAAATATGTGTTGATTTTCGTTCAATGGAAACAGTTTGTGATACGAGTATAGAAATGCACCGTGTTTGCCGCAATGCGTCACATTGGTCACAGGGGTCATTTTTGCCACAAATCGCACAACTTTGTAAAATATGGTCCGATACGGGTACAATTTGGTGCAAGGGTGCATGCTCAAACAACAGGTACAGATGCGCCGCATTTGCCGCAATGCGCCACATCTGCCACAAAGCGCCATTTCCGACAAAATCGAGTAAGGGCAATGGAATGGCACGAATTATTCTGTGACCTGACATGACCCAGCGGTGTTGGTAGGGGTAGGGGTAGGGGTAGGGGTAGTGGTAGGGGTAGGGGTAGTGTAGTGGTAGGGGTAGGGTAGGGGTAGGGGTAGTGGTAGGAGTAGTAGTAGGGGTAGTGGTAGGGGTAGTAGTAGGGGTAGTAGTAGGGGTAGTGGTAGGGGTAGTGGTAGGGGTAGTGGTAGGGGTAGGAGTATGGGTAGTAGTAGTGGTAGGGGTAGGGGTAGGGGTAGGGGTAGGGGTAGTGGTAGTGGAAGGGTAGTGGTAGGGGTAGGGGTAGTGGTAGGGGTAGTGGTAGGGGTAGGGGTAGTGGTAGGGGTAGTGGTGGAGGCAAAAGAAGAACAGTGGCCCGGGCTGATCTGGCCTGACCCAAAGCGACCGGGGCTGACCCCTTTGACCCGTCTTGACCCCGTATCACCCAAAATTCATCCAACAACGCCCTCAGAACAGTTCTTTTTTAAATTCTCTTCACATTTTCGTCCATATCTATGCTTCTAGACGACACATCGACATGAATCAAACACCATTCGAAAGCAAATTAGCTGGTGCCGCAATATTCTCTACCACGCAGCAAAGCAAGTGGCGCAGCCGCTTGTCTAACTTACTATTCCAACAGAATCCGTCTGTCTGTTTGTGTGTCCGCACATCGTGTAGTGGGTTCAATCTGTCACGCCTACAGGGCAGACGGTATGCCGTAGGAGGTTGAAATTTGCACACCTTATAGGTGACAGAGCGGGTCAGCGCCTTTTCTAGGTTCCGACTCGCTGGGGTGCACGGTTCGCGCGTGGGGCGCGCTGGAAGAACGCCACTGGAATTTTGATCGGTTCGTAGATCTTCATTGAGAGCCGGGGTCGACAAACTTTGTGAACTAAATGCATGCCGATCGACGGCGGGTGCCTCGCATTGGCGGATGTGCAAGTTATTAATTTGAATAAAAAGTGGCGAGAGAATGTGTCGATTTTCATTCAATGGAAACAGTTCATGTTACAAGAATAAATATGCACCGAGTTTGCCGCAATGCGCCACATTTGTCTCAAGGCGTTATTTTTTGTCGCAAATCGAACAGTTTTGTCAAATATGGTCCGATATGGGTGCAATTTGGTGCAAAGATGCATGCTCAATCGCCGGGTGAAAATGCGCCGCGTTTGTCGCAATGCGCCATATTTGCCATAAAACGCCATTTCCGACAACATCGATTAAGGATAATGGAATGGCACGAATAGGAGCAGGGCTAGAAGAACTTTTTAAGTCTATGTATTGGATCCAATTATTATGTGACCTGACATGACCAGTTACCCAGTGGTAGGTAGTGGTAGTGGTAGGGGTAGTGGTAGGGGTAGGGGTAGCGGTAGTGGTAGTGGTAGTGGTAGGGGTAGTAGTAGGGGTAGGGGTGGTAGTAGGGGTAGTAGTGGTAGGGGTAGTGGTAGGGGTAGTGGTAGTGGTAGAGGTAGTGGTAGGGGTAGGGATAGTGCTAGGGGTAGGGGTAGGGGTAGGAACATGGGTAGTAGTAGTGGTAGAGGTAGGGGTAGTGGTAGTGGTAGGTGTAGTGGTAGGGGTAGTGGTAGGGGTAGTGGTAGGGGTAGTGGTAGGGGTAGTGGTAGGGGTAGGGGTAGTGGTAGGGGTAGGGGTAGTGGTGGAGGCAAAAGCAGAACAGTGGCCCGGGCTGATCCCAGCGGACGAGAGGTGACCTATTTGACCTGGCCTAACCCAAAGTGACCGGGGCTGACCCCTTTGACCCGTCTTGACCCCGTATCACCCAAATTTCATCCAAGAACGCCCTCAGAACAGTTCTTTTTAAATTTTCTTCACATTTCCGTCCATGTCTATGCTTCTAGACGACACATCGATTTGAATCGAACACCATTCGAAAGCAAATTGGCTGGTGCCGCAATTTTTTCCTACCACGCAGCAAAGCAAGTGGCGCAGCCGCTTGTCTAACTTAGGGCCTGTTCCAGCGCCTCCAGAAGAAATTCTGGACTGGAGGCTCTACCAGAAGTTTTACTGGAGGCGCTGGAACGCTATCTGGAGATAAAACTGCTGGTGTCTTTTGTATACGGTAATGGCGCATTAGTTTCAAAACAGGATTGTAGTCAAACAATTGCTATAAATGATAAGGCTTTTCATCCTAGGCTCAAGGAGGAAGGGTACCTAATTCTGGAAGAGGATAGTGGCAATTAAACTGTTGAGTCATAAAAAATTCAACAAGTAACGACAATTAGGCACCGCATTAAAATATCCCAGTGGTTGTTGTGGTTTGTGGTGGTTTAAACTGGTTTCTTATTCTGTTAGGACTAGTGGTTTCTAGCGCATGCTAATGATATCAAAAAGTGACTTGGCAACAGAAAATTCATAATGATTAATGAGCATGACATGTCATAATGATATGATCCTTGTTTTTACAGCTCTTGTCTTTCATCTTCGAGTCATCACTGTAAAAAAATGTCACGAGCCAATTCTATGACAAGGAGTGGGTTACACGGTTGTCCATTGTACCTTGCTGTTATATATAGGGACATTATCAGCCTGAGCTTTGTTAGTTAAAGAGTGCCCTCGTAAAACAATTGGTTACAAACGGTAACCTAATAACTTAAATGCTTCCCTAACACCCCTTCCTGCTTTTAACAGATTTCGCGCTGTGTCGGAAAACTACGCATAGCCTCATAATTAAATCCGCCAGAAGCTTGTCGCATGCCAGTTACATGCGTGTTTCATTATCGTGTCATACCTATTATTATTATGTCGGCTAATGAGGCACCGCCCTGCACGTGCTTAAAATATTATCTTGCGCACACGCCACCTAGTCGGAAACTCATCATCGGACTAGTCCTGGTAGGGTTTTCGTGTTGCCGAATGAGGCAAAACGACTTTGATTCGGTAGTGCCTCATAAATCCATGCTACGGTGAGCAGCGACGAGTCTGAGACTGCTTCTAAAACGCGTCCTTCACTTCCGGCGGGGCCGTCATTTCCGGCCGCCATTGTTCAGTTCTGCGGCTGCCGGCGGTTGGTGCGGTTGTGTTGTGGCACGGTGCGTTGTGAAGTTCTCGGACTGGGATATTTCGAAGGTACGTTATATTGTATGATATTCACGTAGCAATGGGCGACATTTTATTTATTTTGTAATATTCTGAACACATGTTGCGTCATAGAATTCACCCCTTGACCGTTGTGGGCCACTGTTTCGTTTGAATTCCGACTATTGGAAGACGGACTTTCTTTCAGTTGCTGTCTAGCCTTTTTTTCCAAATGTGTCAGCTACACATATTGCCTCACATTGATTTATCTTATACAATAGTCAGTTGATGTAGATAATAAAGCCATCGTCACTGATATTTTTAAAATCAGCAGTTAATTTTCTTTTCTGTTTGCAGAGTTGCTTAAAGTTGTGGGAGACTGAGGCATGAAGGTATACCGGAAGCCGGCGATATTTATGTTGGTAAGCCTGGCCCAGAAAAAAATGCTTGCTTGAATCTGCAAAGCATGGCAAATGTTTGATGGACTGCACAGTGCACAATGTACCTGACATGGCAGGATCAACTTGCTCATTCGCCTGTTGTAAGTGCCGGCGTTGCGTCACAGCCCGTGGAAGTGCCGGATCGTGCCTTATGCAACCGTATTATTCCGTGAGTGATGACTCGAATCAGCTTTTGCACCACTCCACTATGATATTGTAATATGTTTATATTTATATATTTTTGTATCGTATGCTAATAAGTAATAAACGGTATTTTTGTGTATGTTTTTTTTTTGTAACGTGGCTGGCACGCTGTCGTGACTGTCGTTGGCCGGGTCGTCCACTGCAGTCGGAGGGGTGGCTGGGGAGGAGAGGGGGGGCGGATGACGCAATTGAGCTAGTATTACTATTGGGCAGCAATAGCAGGCGCTAGCTGGTTGAGTTACCAGGCGAGTCCTGCTAAGGAACCTACTCGACGTACCGATCTGCTGGTTTTGTCCTCGTTTTCAAACGAGGTACCGAATAACGAAACGAGGGGCTGACACGGGGGTGCTCGGTTTATGAGGCGTGGACTTGTCATTTACTAACGAAACAAGCTTGTACCCTCTTACAAGCTAAATATGAGGCAATTTTTACGCGTCGCTGCATGCTCATTTTTGCGCCAGCGGTTTTCCTACAAGGGGCTTGTAAGATTTTTTACAGTGATGGCGGAAGGACCGTTACGTGAGCTTCAGGAAGAAGAAGTAGAGATGTTGCTCCACCTAGAGGAGGAGCATGCCCAGGCTGTGGCAGCATTACTCAATGGTGAAGATGAAGAAATGCCTGAAGAAATACTTCATCACATCCAGGATATGGTATATAAATTTAATATCGTTTAAATTTCTATCACAAGTCATAGCGTATTGCGCAATCTTATTAGTTTCTGTTGAACAGAGGCGGATCCAGCTCAGAGTTTTGAGGGGGGCCAAACCATAACAATTTATCGGTTCTTTCCATGCCTCGTCCATAGGCGCAATGTTAAAATTATGCCGTTGGGGGGGGGGGGGGGTAAATGCCCATTTTGCCTCCCTTGAGGCGCCATTGCTGTTGAAGGTATTCAAGTTCATTAGACCTTTTCTCCTAGAATATGTGACAGTATATATGGCCATGTCTACTCATGGTATTAGTCTTACTTATACTTGAATATGCCTTGTTTCAGAGATGATCAAGCTGAGAGAGTGAGAGCGAGAGGCTATGTGGTAGCCACTGTACCAGCCTACCTTGATGATGACTTCCGTGGGCATTTCCGGTGAGTTTGAGTTTGTTGGTTTGCAGCATTTTATGCTAGGCTAGTTTTGCACTTACCTACATCCCTTGTATTCAAAGGGGATAACAGCCAGTAAGATAAAGTGTGTGTGCCATAGTATAATCGTGTGTGCCTCATCATCGTTTCTTACCCAACTGCTTCCTTTTCTAGGATGACTCGACACCAGGTGCAGCAACTGCAGGAGGACTTGGGCGCGGCAGGGGCGTACGCCGAAGACCATGGCGGAAGGGAGCCCATTTCTCCAGGCAAAGCACCATTGGTCCTTCTGTGGACTTTAGCCAATCAGGACACTATTCGAAGCATTAGTGACAGGTTCGATCTTACCAAGTCGAGTGTAATACGCTCGAACCGACGCTTGACGAATGCGATCGTAAACGACCTGCTCGGAGAACACGTGAAGTGGCCAAACAACACTGCAGCTGGTGCGATCGACTGTGTTGGGGGCATCGAGATTGTGGGGGCCATCGATGGCTCTCACATCCCGATCTCCCAGCCAGTCGAGGACCAGGAGGTCTATGTAAATAGAAAGGGCTTCCACTCTTTGGTTCTCCAAGCGGTCTGCCAGGCTGACATGCGCTTCATTGACGTGTTTACGGGATACCCGGGCTCGGTTCACGATGCCCGGGTATTCCGTAACTCTCCCTTGTGCCAGGCGCTTCCCAGACTGTGTCCCGATGGTGAAAGTGTCATTCTAGGAGATAGCGCGTACCCCTTAACAGGGCAACTGATCACCCCGTTCAAGGATAACGGAAGGCTAACAAGGCGTCAAAAGCGATTCAACACAGAAGTAAGTAAGAGGCGTGTGGTGATCGAGCGAGCATTTGCCCTGTTAAAGGGTCGTTTCCGTAGGCTCAAGTTCTTGAAGATGTGGAGCATCGCTGACACGACCAAAACCATCATCGCAGCCTGTGTGTTGCATAACATGTGTCTGGCAGGTGGCGACAGGGGCGATGACTTTGGCGAGCTTACCGATGGTGCAGAGGGGCTCGAGGTTGTTGTGCCGCGCCATCGAGATGACGCGGCAGAGGACAGGCGTGATGAGCGTGGCGCACCTGTAAGAGAACAGCTGATGACTGCCTTTCTGGGCCCGGAACTTAGGTAGTAGGTATGTGTCCGTGCTAGAGGTGCCAGCTTCAGCAAATGCATATCCAATGTCTGCGGTCCGGTAACTTCGCCGAGTGGACGGTCAAAATGTCCAAGCTGGCAGCAATTAGTCCAAAGATGTCTGTCTTTTTGACATTTTGGACGGTTCGAAGTCTGCCATGCTCAGCATTACTCAGACATTTATTTTTACACCTTTGTTATGCCTGCTGGATGTGTATAAATGAATGATCGTAGGATTGAGGACCACTATCAATGGGTTTTACCTGTGTGTGGCCTTCCAAATAAATGAAATGAAGTGAACTGGTCGTCTGTAATGTTACGTCGCCCGTGTCCTTCTTCGTCTTAGTACGGTTTTAACTACACCAAGCGTGAGTAGAGAAACGAGGTGGCTCCATTAATGTGGTCTGTGCACCATAAATACACGTTGCTGATGCGCTGCTTTTCAGGCGCCACTGTTGAATGGCCTCATTAGTCTGTCCTTCCATTGCCCGCTGAGAGGCAGGGATTACTATATAAGATGTATTATGCCAATACCTGAGAAGAAAACAGCAACTGATGCATTCACAAGTAGGAACAAAGTGGCATCGCGTAATACGGCAAATCACAAATGGCACAGCTATTCACGGCGAACCGCAAATGACACAGCTCTTGGCTATCAATAAAAATGAACTATGATCTAATGCACTACAGCGTATTCACACAAACGAAGCTCTTGGTTACATCACCATTCCCCAGCTAATGAATGGCCATTTGAACTTTCATGGGCAATCCGGCGACCCACGCCTCTAAGGACTCAGCTTGAACCTTCAAGTTCATCTTCACTTTGACGCCTACCTTTTCCCCGTCCAAGAAGCTCACGCATGAGGGCCAGCCTTTCCTGGTGCATCTTATATGCTAGCTCCTGATTTTCTTTGTGCCTCTCCTGTCTTTTCTTTTTCATGCCATGAAGCAACTCTAGAACCTCTTCGTTGGATGTTCTCTTAGCCTTCGTGCTTTTTCCCTCAGTTTCACTGGGTGTACGCCTATTGCTCCCCATCGAAGGAGATTTGACAGTCTCAGATGTAGTGTTGATCACCTGAGATGGGCAAGCTGACCCAGAAGCATCATTTGGGCTAGAAGCGCTATTGGACTGTCTGTCCGAGCTCGGTGTGTTGTCGGGTGTCAAACTTCCCAGGACGATCCTCGGAGAGACACTTGGGTTTTTGCCAAGGATCTCTTCCAACTCCTTTTGGTAGAGGCAGGTTTTGCGACCTCTACCTGACTGTCTATTGTTGTCCACTGTCCTCTTATAAGCATCACAGAGAGTTTGCCATCTGTTATTTACCTGTTTGACACTGAAACTCAAACCACCACCACTTTTGTTCACTTCATCTGTTATTTTGTTCCACACAAGTTTCTTCTTGTACCTGGGGTCTGAGAACTTTTCTTTATGAACGCCATAGTGGTATATCAGCGACTTTGTCGCTTCATCAGACCAAAATTTTTTTTGACTGCATTGTCTAGACCAGTTTCCTCGTCATCTAGACTCTGGGAATCGTCTAGGACTACTTGATCAATGCCCTCACATGTGTGGTGCACAATCCAGTTAATTGGACCTTCCACCATGCATTTTGAGCACAGAAAGACTTCGTCTTCAGCCATTTTGATCTGAAAAGAAGATAATTCTATCAGTTTCCTGAATCAACATACTGATGAAATGCCTTGTCTTGGAATGGTACAGATTCATAAACACAAATAAGCTGATGACTATTGTAAAAAGCTGGACAAGAAGTTAGCAATAGATTCAACATACATGCACAACAATTGACTAGGTACAGCTTTCGACTGGGTTGACAACGCTACTACGGTGATAAATCTGCACCAGCTCACGCCAACTAGTGTTTTGTTCCACACAACATTCACATTGTACCACCAAATATCTCTGAACTAACTCCGCCAAGTCAGAGTACGCACAGCGATCTGGTGGAAATTCCTCTTTGCAGTTTGGTTGGAAAGTAGGTAGTTTACATCTACAATACAGAATTAAATTAAATTCATTTTAAATTATAATATTAATAAATTCAATTAAAATAATTCAATCAATTTCACTATGAATTACCGAGCACACAATTGTTCGGCTACCTCAGAAGGAACAATCTCATTTTGATTTTTAATTCAATGCATTCAAGTACAATTCTACTAAAATTTCTAAATTAATATGTGCCAATGCATATACGCAAAGCACTCTTGCAAATACTTATCTATCAATCTCAATAGGTGAGGTAGGCAGGTAGGTACCTACCTACCTATCCATTGTCACTATTGTCGCAACGCCAATTACGTCTCGGTGACAACGGAAGGCCGAACAATTGATTTAATTGCGAGATCAAACAACTTTCGATTATGTTCTGTTACAATAGAAATAATTTAAAGATTACATACCTAAATCAACACGCACCAAACGTTGAAAATCTGAAAACTGACGCGCAAATTGCCTGAGCACAAAATGTCACATGCCCGCCATAATTGTAGACCAGACCCTCCAGAGAAAATTGGACCTCTCATCTCTCTGGAGGCTACTGGAGGTTTCTGGAGCTTCGGCGAGAGCTTTCTGGAGCTTTCTGGAGGCGCTGGAACGCTCTCTGGAGGATTCTGGAGCTTACTGGAGCTTTATGGAGGTTTCTGGAGGCGCTGGAACAGGCCCTTACTATTCTAACAGAATCCGTCTGTGAGTCTGTTTGTGTGTCCGCACATCGTGTAGTGGGTACAATTAACCCCGCCTACAGGACAGACGGTACGGCGTAGGGGGCTGAAATTTGCACACCTTATAGGTGATAGAGCGGGTCAGCGCCTTTTCTAGGTTCCGACTCGCTGGGGTGCACGGTTCGCGCGTGGGGCGCGCTGGAAGAACGCCAATGAAATTTTGATCGGTTCGTATATCTTCATTGAGAGCCGGGGTCGACAAACTTTGTGAGCTAAATGCATGCCGATCGGTGGCGGGTGCCTCGCATTGGCGGATGGGCAGGTTTTAATTTGAATAAAAAGTGGCGAGATAATGTGTTGATTTTCATTCAATGGGAACAGTTTGTGATACAAGGATAAAAACGCACCGCGTTTGCCGCAATGCGTCACATTGGTCACAAGGCGCCATTTTTGCCGCAGCTCGCACAGTTTTGTCAAATATGGCCCGATAAGGGTGCAATTTGGTGCAAAGATGCATGGTCAATCACAGGGTAAAAATGCGCCACGTTTGCCGCAATGCGCCACATTTGTCACAATGCGCCATTTCCGACAATACGATTAAGGGTAATGGAATGGCACGAATAGGGGCAGGGCTGGGGACACTTTAAGTCCGATTGTTTTTTAATACCTGTTGGATTCAATTACTCTGTGACCTGACATCACCCAGTGGTAGGTAGTGGTAGAGGTAGTGGTAGGAGGTATGGGTAGGGGTAGGGGTAGTGGTAGGGGTAGTAGTAGTGGTAGGGGTAGTAGTAGGGGTAGTAGTAGGGGTTAGTGATGTCAATTTCAGAAATTTTGGAAACCAATACCAAACCGATACCGACCAAAACCACTGAGAGTATACCAAAACCGAACCGATTTTCAGAAATAGGGGGAAATACCGACTAGATACCGAAATCAGGGTATTATCAAACAAATGCTTCAAACTTTCTCAAGACATAGGTATGATAAGCCTTGAAAGGTACCTAATACTTTGAAATAAGGTTACAAAAACAAATCAGGCAATCTCTTGATTATTTGCATTGCAAAAAATACATTTATAACTTATTTTGTAACTATTAACAAATATTCAGGTCAATTATTTTACTGGAATGTGGATTCAAGTCAACTGCATGAGGTGTTAGGAAAATAACTTGAACCCTGAATCTTGTCCATGCCTGAACCATCAAACCTTCTTTCAATTCAAGTCATTCATTTCGAGTCCGGTCAAGACAGGGTTAAGTGTGTTATCATGATCCAAAAGTGGTGACCCAATTGACAATGATGGGCTACACCTTGTGCTACACCATTAATGTAAACAAAGCCCATGATACCTACAGTTCAGCCCAAGTAGCATGGTGATTGGTGACGATACTGACGCAGCCAATTTTTCTTCATCCACAAATGTGTAACACAACAAAACTTTATAAATAATTACTTACGAGGCACACTGATAGATAGCAGACACCACTGTAATGATATCGCGATGAAATCTTAGTAAAATGTCCATAATTTTACGGAGGAATTGACACACGTCACGTGTCATCTCTTCCATAATGGCGGCCTTACAGGCGGCGGCCATTTGCATTAATGATTAAACTGTATAAAATAAAGTTTTTTCTTTTCTTTTTTGCTTATAGTCCACTTGAATCAAAATTCCTTGTATAAATTTTGACATCTTAAAATTAATTCAAGAAAGTTGTAGGCCGCTTTCGCTGAAAAATGAAGTGCCAGAAAAACGAGCTATACCGGTTCCTCAACCTGGCGCAGCTGCGGCATTGAAATGTTTTTAGATGTGTTCAGTTTTGAAACTGCTGTGTGCGAGTCAAGCCAAAAGCCAATTATATTTTATGAAGCTTATTATTAAATTGCTAGCGATCTGTATCTGTTGAGAGAGCAGGAAAGAGAACACTAATTGAAGAAAATAAATTATCCACAGGATCATGACAGCATCGCTCACTACAAGGCTTTTTGAAGTTGAGCGAAGTCAAAGTTGAAGATTTGTGGGGTGATGCGGGTGATGATGAAGTGACAAATGCTGCCTTAAATATTAGATGATAATGGTGAAGCTAGTGCTGTATTTAACAGGGTTTTGGATAATGTAATTGCATTGCAGTAAAATGGAGAGGAAGACAAGGTCAAGGATCAATCACAGACTCCTCAAAACAAATTCAAATTTGTTGCTAATAAATGCTTTGGAAATTTTGAGAAAGGTGGTTAAAGTATGTTTTCCAGCATACAGTGAGTTAAACATTAATTCATGTTAATGTCTTGCACAATGGCTTTCTTTGTAGGATAATTATCCTCATGGTATTGGAATTTGCTAACACTGATAAGTTGCCATTTAACATTGGTAGACTGATGTATTTGATATTACAGTTGATGTGTTTGCCCATTTGTTAGGACATCATGCATTTGGGAGAAATGGGTCATGATTGCCATTTTCTTCATCCAGTGTCATTTAGCAAAATCAAATTTTAGTTCAGAAGGTATATAAAAAATGCTTTTCAAATATTTTATGACAGTAGTTGATTTTCATGATACCGACAAAATACCAAATGCTTTTAGTATATAATACCGAATACCGAATCGG